CAAAAATTGACTTTTTTGCAAACAACCCAGAATTGTGTACAGATGCAAGAGGAACATCAATAGACCCTCTAACACTAAAAATGGAAGATTTGGGCAAAAATCACCGACTTATTGAGTCAAAAATGACTATTTTGGACTAATTTTGTCCCAAAATATCAACGCAATCTTTCTTTTTAATGCCCATTCTGTCCAAAATTCCGGTTCGAATGTGCCCTACGGTCCTTCAGGCATCTTCCCTGCATGTTTCAGGCAATTTCATTTTTTGGGAAAAAATTGAAGAAATCACGCCTTACATTTTTGATCAAATTTTGCCAAAAATGGACTATTCTCCAAACAACCCAGAATTGTCTACTGATGCGAGAGGAACATCAATCGACACTCAAACACTAAACATATTGAAGATTTGGGCAAAAATCACCGAATTATTGAGTCAAATCTGAGAAATTTTGACTAATTTTGAACCAAATTATCGACGCAAATCTTATTTTAAATGCCTAATCTGTCCAAAATTCCATTTCGAAATGCTTTATGGACCTTCAGGCATCTTCCCTGCAAGTTTCAGGCAATTTCATTTTTCAGCAAAAATTTGAAAAAATTGTAAGGGGTTAGCCTTGCATTTTTGATCAAATTTGGCCCAAAATTGACTTTGTTGCAAACAACCCAGAATTGTGTACAGATGCAAGAGGAACATCAATAGACCCTCTAACACTAAAAATGGAAGATTTGGGCAAAAATCACCGAATTGTTGAGTCAAAAATGACTATTTTTGACAAATTTTGTCCCAAAATATCAACGCAATCTTTCTTTTAAATGCCCATTCTGTCCAAAATTCGAGTTCGAATGTGCCCTACGGACCTTCAGGCATCTTCCTTGCATGTTTCAAGCAATTTCATTTTTCGTCAAAAATTTGAAAAAATTGTAAGGGGTTAGCCTTGCATTTTTGATCAAATTTGGCCCAAAAATTGACTTTGTGCAAACAACCGAGAATTGTGTACAGATGCAAGAGGAACATCAATAGTCCCTCTAACACTAAAAATGGAAGATTTGGGCAAAAATCACCGACTTATTGAGTCAAAAATGACTATTTTGGACTAATTTTGTCCCAAAATATCAACGCAATCTTTCTTTTCAATGCCCAATCTGTCCAAAATTCCAGTTCCAATGTGCCTTACGGACCTTCGGGCATCTTCCCTGCATGTTTCAAGCAATTTCATTTTTCGTCAAAAATTTGAAAAAATTGCAAGGGGTTAGCCTTGCATTTTTGATCAAATTTGGCCGAAAATTGACTTTTTTCCAAACACCCCAGAATTGTCTACCGATGCAAGAGGAACATCAATCGACCCTCAAACTCTTAACATATTGAAGATTTGGGCAAAAATCACCGACTAATTGAGTCAAAAATGACCAATTTTGACTAATTTTGTCCCAAAATATCAAAGCAATCTTTCTTTTAAATGCCCATTCTGTCCAAAATTCGAGTTCGAATGTGCCCTACGGTCCTTCAGGCATCTTCCCTGCATGTTTCAGGCAATTTCATTTTTCGTCAAAAATTTGTAAAAAATTGCAAGGGGTTAGCCTTGCATTTTTGATCAAATTTGGCCAAAATTGACTTTTTTCCAAACACCCCAGAATTGTCTACCGATGCAAGAGGAACATCAATCGACCCTCAAACACTTAACATATTGAAGATTTGGGCAAAAATCACCGACTTACTGAGTCAAAAATGACTAATTTTGACTAATTTTGTCCCAAAATATCGACGCAATCTTTCTTATAAATATCCATCTGTCCAAAATTCCATTTCGAAATGCTATATGGACCTTCAGGCATCTTCCCTGCAAGTTTCAGGCAATTTCATTTTTCGGCAAAAATTTGAAAAAATTGTAAGGGGTTAGCCTTGCATTTTTGATCAAATTTGGCCCAAAAATTGACTTTTTTGCAAACAACCCAGAATTGTGTACAGATGCAAGAGGAACATCAATAGACCCTGTAACACTAAAAATGGAAGATTTGGGCAAAAATCACCGACTTATTGAGTCAAAAATGACTATGTTTGACTAAATTTGTCCCAAAATATCAACGCAATCTTTCTTTTCAATGCCCAATCTGTCCAAAATTCCAGTTCCAATGTGCCTTTCGGACCTTCGGGCATCTTCCCTGCATGTTTCAAGCAATTTCATTTTTCGTCAAAAATTTGAAAAAATTGCAAGGGGTTAGCCTTGCATTTTTGATCAAATTTGGCCGAAAATTGACTTTTTTCCAAACACCCCAGAATTGTCTACCGATGCAAGAGGAATATCAATCGACCCTCAAACTCTTAACATATTGAAGATTTGGGCAAAAATCACCGACTAATTGAGTCAAAAATGACTAATTTTGACTAATTTTGTCCCAAAATATCAAAGCAATCTTTCTTTTAAATGCCCATTCTGTCCAAAATTCGAGTTCGAATGTGCCCTACGGGCCTTCAGGCATCTTCCCTGCATGTTTCAAGCAATTTCATTTTTCGTCAAAAATTTGAAAAAATTGCAAGGGGTTAGCCTTGCATTTTTGATCAAATTTAGCCCAAAATTGACTTTTTTCCAAACACCCAAGAATTGTCTACCGATGCAAGAGGAACATCAATCGACCCTCAAACACTTAACATATTGAAGATTTGGGCAAAAATCACCGACTTACTGAGTCAAAAATGACTAATTTTGTCCCAAAATATCGACGCAATCTTTCTTTTAAATGCCTAATCTGTCCAAAATTCCAGTTCCAATGTGCCTTACGGACCTTCGGGCATCTTCCCTGCATGTTTCAAGCAATTTCATTTTTCGTCAAAAATTTGAAAAAAATTGCAAGGGGTTAACCTTGCATTTTTGATCAAATTTGGCCAAAAAGTGACTTTTTTCCAAACACCCCAGAATTGTCTACCGATGCAAGAGGAACATCAATCGACCCTCAAACACTTAACATATTGAACATTTGGGCAAAAATCACCGACTTACTGAGTCAAAAATGACTAATTTTGACTAATTTTGTCCCAAAATATCGACGCAATCTTTCTTATAAATATCCATCTGTCCAAAATTCCATTTCGAAATGCTATATGGACCTTCAGGCATCTTCCCTGCAAGTTTCAGGCAATTTCATTTTTCGGCAAAAATTTGAAAAAATTGTAAGGGGTTAGCCTTGCATTTTTGATCAAATTTGGCCCAAAAATTGACTTTTTTGCAAACAACCCAGAATTGTGTACAGATGCAAGAGGAACATCAATAGACCCTGTAACACTAAAAATGGAAGATTTGGGCAAAAATCACCGACTTATTGAGTCAAAAATGACTATGTTTGACTAAATTTGTCCCAAAATATCAACGCAATCTTTCTTTTCAATGCCCAATCTGTCCAAAATTCCAGTTCCAATGTGCCTTTCGGACCTTCGGGCATCTTCCCTGCATGTTTCAAGCAATTTCATTTTTCGTCAAAAATTTGAAAAAATTGCAAGGGGTTAGCCTTGCATTTTTGATCAAATTTGGCCGAAAATTGACTTTTTTCCAAACACCCCAGAATTGTCTACCGATGCAAGAGGAACATCAATCGACCCTCAAACTCTTAACATATTGAAGATTTGGGCAAAAATCACCGACTAATTGAGTCAAAAATGACAAATTTTGACTAATTTTGAACCAAAATATCGAAGCAATCTCTCTTTTAAATGTCCAATCTGTCCAAAGTTCGAGTTCGAATGTGCCTTACGGTCCTTCAGGCATCTTCCCTGCATGTTTCAGGCAATTTCATTTTTCGTCAAAAATTTGAAAAAATTGCAAGGGTTAGCCTTGCATTATTGATCAAATTTGTCCGAAAATTGACTTTTTTCCAAACACCCAAGAATTGTCTACCGATGCAAGAGGAACATCAATCGACCCTCAAACACTTAACATATTGAAGATTTGGGCAAAAATCACCGACTTACTGAGTCAAAAATGACTAATTTTGTCCCAAAAATATCGACGCAATCTTTCTTTTAAATGTCTAATCTGTCCAAAATTCCGGTTCAAATGTGCAATACGGTCCTTCAGGCATCTTCCCTGCATGTTTCAGGCAATTTCATTTTTCGTCAAAAATTTGTAAAAAATTGCAAGGGGTTAGCCTTGCATTTTTGATCAAATTTGGCCAAAAATTGACTTTTTTCCAAACACCCCAGAATTGTCTACCGATGCAAGAGGAACATCAATCGACCCTCAAACACTTAACATATTGAACATTTGGGCAAAAATCACCGACTTACTGAGTCAAAAATGACTAATTTGGACTAATTTTGTCCCAAAATATCGACGCAATCTTTCTTTTAAATATCCAATCTGTCCAAAATTCCATTTCGAAATGCTATATGGACCTTCAGGCATCTTCCCTGCAAGTTTCAGGCAATTTCATTTTTCGGCAAAAATTTGAAAAAATTGTAAGGGGTTAGCCTTGCATTTTTGATCAAATTTGGCCCAAAAATTGACTTTTTTGCAAACAACCCAGAATTGTGTACAGATGCAAGAGGAACATCAATCGACCCGCAAACACTTAACATATTGATATTTGGGCTTAAATCAACGACCTATTGCGTCAAAAATGAGTAAATTTGACTAATTTTGACCCAAAATTATCGACGCAATCTTCTTTTAAATGCCCAATCTGTCAAAAATTCCAGTTTGAATGTGCTCTAGGGACCATCAGCCAGAAAGCTGGAAGTCCATATAGTGAAATCTCAGTAAGTGAAACTCTGATAACTCAAAACAACTGTCAAGTCAAACGAAGAATCCATTCCTTTCAGGAGTATAACAATGGTATTCAACCCTGCTGAACTCAAAACTCTGCTTAAGTCGAATTTTTGAACCTGTTCCCTTGAGATTTGACTTGAGATATTGTAATAGTAAAGCCTAGACATGACGAAATCCTGAATAAGCAGAACTCAAGTGATGTTAAATGAGAAATTCTATTCAAAAAGTGGTACGCCAAGATTCAAATCACTGTGTATACAATTGAGAAAAATACTCAATTTCTTTCACTTTATTTGAAAAGCAACGAGCAGTTATATATAAAATCTACAAAATACTGTATACTGTGTAAAACCTTTCAAACGTTGCCTGCGTAATTATCTGATATATATATATATATGCACAATTTGAAAATATTTCGCTTTATATAGGCCAAAGCTGCTTTTCCTCAGATTTCAGAAAACTATGTATTTACTACGGCAATGGTGGTCCACTATTGAACATCATGTTTAATTTGATGCTAGCAAATCTACTATCTACGATGAATCTAATTTCAAACACGATTATCAAATGCGAATTTCAGCGGTCGTATCAACACTTAAAAAACATTAAAGCTGCTGCAAGTTTACCTTGAGCAGAGATCTACATTTTTTCTTCGGTACATCCTGAAGAATGTGATTTCAATCATTGATTGAAGCTGAAAGACATCATTATAAAATGACGAAAAATTAGGGTAACACATGCAGCATCATCCTAAGTACTGTCCAAGGACTACAAATGTCTGTGTGTTTTGGCAAATATTGCAGCATTTTCAATACAAGTCATTTTCCTTTCTCAACCAAGAGGCACTTAATTCAACGATATACCTTTATTTCTCACCGGAGCCCATCAATTACATCAGTTTAACCTCACAATTTAAAAAACAAATTGTAGCAACGTTCGAACATTCATATCCATTTATGTCTGTATAAAGTATTTCTCTGAGTGCTACTTATAACCAATATATAAAAAAAATGATAATGAGCTATGTCTTTTTATATTTAAACGTAAAACAGTATCGTCAGTACATCCGAACTACGGCATCCCTATGGACTTTTGTTTTTACTCTGTAGGCTTACACCATCATAAAATTCACAAATGAATCCCCTTAAACAAAATGCTCTCCACCATTATCTCCCCTCTTTTGTGTTTAGTGGATCTACATCTCTGTCTATTTTTAAGTTTTCTTTGGAGCCCCGTCGGTATAGCGGATGCCACTGTGCGCCGAGATGTCATCTGACAACCGATCGTTCCTCCGGCTCTCCACGGAGTCGGAGGCTCCGACTCCCGAGTCACCGTTCGAGACCGAGTGCGTGGAGGGCAGGCGAGTCATGACGGCCCCGCCCCGGTGGTGCATCCTCCGGACCAGGAACCAGATTAGCACGGCCATCACGACCGAGACAGACTTGAGCAGGGTGGAAAGTCCCAGGTAGCGGTAGTAGAACCCGGAGTTGTCGTACTGCAGGCAGGCCCCGTCGTCACCGCACTCTTTCTGCCAGAGAATGCAGGTGCTGTCGATGACGGCACCGTAGTAGATCGGGGAGGGAATGAATCCTGAAGAACGTCAAACAACTCGGTTAATTCACGGAGTTCTCAATTATCATCGTGCTATAAGAATCAGCACTGGTAACCTTCAGCAGGTACAACATACCAAATAGTTACACTATAAGATCCAAGAATAAACCTATCGTCTACGGTACTCACCAAAAAGTCGCAAAATGACGAACTGTAGACCGAGTGCAAATGGCCTTTCCTCTTTCTTCACGCATCTGGAAAAAAATCGTCAAATGTTGAGTGTCTAGGTGTTATCGTAACTGTTCTCCACCTGTTGCATGTATTACCACACTTTACCAGGCCTTTATTATTCAGAATTGAGTGCTTCATAACGGTCTCAATGTTTAACTTCAGCCCTCTTAAAGTAAAACATCAGTTCTGAAGATTTTATCCAGAGGGGTCTCTGTCAAGAAACTATAGCTGAAAGCATGGAATACGAAACACAACAGGGTCGTCTGCCATTAATAGTCAGCAAGTCATGGCAGAAAGTCCTTCTCTATCAACAGGCTGTGATAATAGACTAAGGAGCATACTATCGGAGTATTTCCGACCCTCCCAGTGTACCGTCAAATCTACCGAATTACTGCAAAGACGTAGAGCCAAGGAGGGACACCCAACGCGAATCTTGTCTCTATTCACTTACCTCAGAAGGGTCATAAGAGCCGGCATCTGCTCAATCGAGGAGACAAAGACCACTAGTAGCAGCAGGGCGAGGAACGGCACGAGCTTCCAGCACTGGGACGAGCACAGGTCCGAGACTACCTCTGACCTGTGCGTCGGTGGGGTAGGGTTGTTGCCATCATCACTCTCAACCAACCCGGCCAGCTGTTGGCTGTCCCCCGCGTCGTAGTCCTCGATGCAGGTGCAGTTGAAATACTCCTGAGACAGAGACGAACGTTCTGAGCATTTTAATATATCACAACGATGATATTTTCTCTAAAGTAAACTGCAAACTATTACTTATATAAGATTTCAGGCTTCGCATGATGCGGTAACACCATGTGGTAATAACTACTGTCGCTTAAAGTAGATTTAGTTCTGATAAGAACAGTTTTGCTTACTACTCAAAAGGAACTTGTCGTGCTGTCTACTTTCGCTATTTAAAATAAAGGTTGGAAGGCGGTGCATGGGACTTCTCGCAATTATCTTCACTGAGGCTGAGTGAGATACAACAATTACTTGTTGTCATTCTACAGGTGCGAAGTATAACAACTGCATTTGAGAACGTTACAACTTCGTGTGTGTTGGACTTTGTACTGATATCAAGATTTACAGACCTCCGTAGAATCACTCCTTTCCAACAATCATCAAAATGGGGATTTTTAAGTACATACTGCAAGCCACTAAGTGTTATCTTTACCGAGGTGTGAACGATGAAAGTGTCCCTGATTGATTGTCTTTACTTGATTGACTCAAGTTGTCGTTGGACCTCATTTATGTCGTTGGACCTCCAAGTTTATGTCGTTGGACCTTCTTGTTATAGCGATTGTGCATTATAACAAAATTTAATATTTTGGGTAGCTAAAGGGAATGTTCGTTATAGGTAAACGTTCGTCATAGAAATTTTTGGTACAGCGGTTGTGCATTATAATATAATTTTATATTTTGGTAGCGTTATAGGCCAAGTGTTCGTTATACTTATAGCGGCATTTACTGTACTTACGAAGGCGTCGAGGTCGTCATCGGTTGACATGGATATGTTTATCGCACAGCCAGCATAGCAGGGGCTGAAATACGACACGTTGGCTTTGTGGTTACACACTGGGCTGTATCTGCTGGGGTTGCACCCACACGCAGCATTGCAGGGGCTGACCAGACTAACATTGTACGGGTTGGGCCTATGCCAATTCGAATCACTGGAACAATCAAGAGACGAAAACCAATACCACGTTGTTATTCCAAAGGGGTATGGGTAAAAAAATTACTCCTGCCTTCAACCTACCTGCAATCTCATCAGACACAGCTACAGGTTACGAATCTTTTCAGACGTCTTCGATTTTTTTGTTTCTATTGCAATGCTCTTCAGTCTAATCAGTCTTTCTGATGTCCCAGTCAAGGGCAGATTCATGGGGAATAAAGGCAGGCACTGCGTAAAACACCATCTTTTCTTCCCAAAAAATTGTTGAAGTGGTCAGAAATTCCCTCAGAATACACCACAGAGCATCTAGAATCCAAAAAAAAAGAAAGTCCGGACCCTTGAGCGGGCCCCGAACCCACGCCGTAAGTTTTTTTGGACCCACTTTTGGGGGACCAGTTTCTTTTTTTGGCCCCCCTCAAAAGCAGTGTCCTAGATCCGCCCTTGGTTCCAGTAGTGCAACAGCATTTGCATTTGGAACAGCAATTTGTCATGGCAATCGGTTCATTGTTCACGCAAATGCTAAGGGCAGACGGACCTCCATATGTTTAACTGGATTACAAAAAAAAAAGACATTAAACAAATTGAGAAGACAAGAAATAAAAATCAGTTCTGACTACACATTTTTGTTACTTCGTCGGAAGTTGCCGGCATTCATCAACAGGTGCGAGAGTGGTTTACCTAACAGATCAATAAAATAAACAAAAAAAAACACACGAGAGCAAATCAAACCTTCCCAATCGCATCGATTAATTTGCATCGATACTGCCCATACATTATACAACCCATGCTCCTTTGCAAATTCTAAATCTCGATTTGCGTCGTGACTAGCGGTGACCTTTGTAGGCCAAGCCCAAAAGGAGCACTGTTGTATGAGGCTAGGACATCTCAAATACACCACTGGTAAAATACAGTATGTCCCATAAAAGTGTCCGACTCACTGTTTTTGAAATTACTACAAAACCATAGTCGTTTTTGAAAATGTTTGATTGTGCAGATACTCTTTACCCTTGGCCTAAACCCCTGTTAGCCACTTATCACTGCACAATGGTCGATTGATCACAACAACATTTTTGGACGCTATGACCAAGTTCCTTGCCTTAATCAATTTCAGTGCTGTGTAATGTAAGCTGTGTAAAATCCTGCATGTTGTGAAAAAAGGCTAAAATGGTTTGGGACTGCCCTTGAGCATTATAAAAACTGAGGTCTTGCCATGGTGACTGATAGCCAGGCAAATGATTCCAATCCCAACCAAAGCCCTTTTCACAACTTGCAGGATTTTACACAGCTTACATTACACAGCACTGAACTTCATTAAGGCAAGGAACGTAGTCACAGTGTCCGAATCTGTTGTTGTGATCAATTGACAATTGTGAAGTGATGCGTGACTGAAATTAAAAGAAAATCAAATAGGAAATGAGGCCAAGAATAATATTTCGCAATGTTGGTCCACGCCACGTGGAGTGTTTCCGGTACCCTTTATCATTCCAAGAATGTAAACTATTATGCATGCAAAAACATTATTCTGTGCGCATTTGTTACTGGTGTTTGCTTAAAAAAATTTGTTTGAAGGCAAAAACGTTACGATTAAAGGCAGTTTTATGTTATCCGCATTACATTTATTTACATTTGCGAGACTTTCAAAACATCGGGAAAAAAACCCCCAGAAACATTTCATATTTTCCATCAAAACAACAAAAAATTAAAAGCTCGATACTTTTCATTCAGTTTGAAAAGTAATTTAGTACATTCATTTAATTCCATCAGGCTGGGAAGTCTATGATTACACCAATGTGAAGGCAAAGGCTACCAATGTGAAGGCAAAGGTTATTTTGCAGAGTCGAATTCCATCGTCAAAAAAAAAAAAATCAAATTTCTACACCGTTCGTTTCGAATCAGTATACCATGAACCTGCAACTACTATACCATGTACTATAGACGAGTGCAGTTAAGTTTGACATTCATCGCAAAACGTACTTGGCTTGATACGGTGTCGTTACTCCGGCCATTTTAAAGTTAGGGCAAGGACCCGGGATGAAAATGAGTCCGTAGAGGAGTCCAGCGATGATGGTCGAGGCGCACATGACATTCACCGAGCCCATCAAATTGGTCTTGACCCGGTGCAAGATGACCCCTCCCAGGATCACACCGAGGGCTCCCATTGGAATCAGAGTACCTTGGGAAAACAAACAAAAACATTAGATCCTTATGTAGCTGCGATGATGATGGAATCTGAAGAAAACAACCAAGACAATTTTAACTGTTAACCATATTCACGATGAACCCTCCTAGGATCACACCGTGGGATCCCACTGGTATTAGAGTAGGCCCACCTGGGGAATACAAGTAATGAAAAGGACGTCCTTATTCATGCACACAAGAGGGGGCTAGGATGGTGAGTATTGGGTATCTGCTCTATCAGACACCCCTATGTTCCGACAACCCGTGCATAAGATTGTGTTACTCCCGGTTAGGGTTAGGGTTATGATTAGGGATAGGAATGTGAGCAGTCGGAACATAGGGCTGTCGGAACATAGGTGTGTCAGGACATAGGTGTGTAACCAGTGTTAGCTTATACTCAAGACAACAACCACACCCAGCCAAGCTGGTCTTGACCCGGTTCAAGATAGATGAACCCAACCAGGATCACACAAAGGGATCGTATACTTGTTATGTAAGGGTACCTGGAGAGAACGAGCATGCTTAAAAGTAACCCTCATGCACGCACACAAGAGGGCGATGTGGTGTTTAATCATCCGGCTTGTCTGGACAAAGCTGGCTGTGGATGTTATCAGGAGCTATAGAGTTAGCCGATAGGAGAGGATCACAAACCTGTTATTAGATTTGCCATGGAGGCTTTCACTTGGAACTGCGACTGGACGAACTTTGGCGCGAATCTGACGAAACCGGTGATGATGCTGAATTCTGCCGCTGCAGCCACATTCACCATCATGTACACGGGGTTCTTCAGCAGTCCCCAGATGGCAAACGGGATCTCTGTGGTATTAATGTAAGAGAAAACTCACATTAATGCTCCAAATGTTCTTGTTCTCGACCGCCAAGAAATTTCGACCACAGTACGATGCCGTACTTTTCATACCAGCGCGCAGACATACATAATTGTAATACCTCTGTCTTGAATACTGTATTTCTTATACATCATTGGCCTAGAACGATCACGTGTTAAGTTTGTAAAAAGTCATGGCACACTCCCTGTGGGCACAGGGATTGAGCTATGACTTTACGTACGGTACGTACGGTGTGAAACGCATCTATCGTTGGTACCCACGCTATTTTCACCATGTTTTCACACATAAGTGGGAGCAGTGAACTAGCAGCCGATCAGCTGTTTCGAGCACGCGATATGCATGTGAGTTGGCGTTCGACCGTCATGTCTGTTGTGTTTACTGCTGTTTGTTTTCGTCATTTTTACATCAAAGTTCAAAGAATCCAAGACAGACGTTTTGTATGACGTTTTGAACACCCTTGGGCCGCATAGCACCCAAGGCGAATCAGATCGACATATCCCACATCACAGCAGTCAACAATAAATTGTTAAATAGCTCACAGGTCAGTCTCCAGTAGATCACTGCTCTTCCCTATACAAACTGCCCCTGCAAACGATCTCAACACCGCCATCTATCAGGATTGCGGATTGAGTGTCTTAGATCTAACAACTTGCCGTCGGCCTTGTGACCTAAATGCCGTAGATCGATCGACTTATTTTAAAGATACGAAGGATCAGTTGCTTAATCGGTAGGTACTTTTTCGGGTAACTGCAAATGATCCTACATGGCTTTAATATTGACGCGCGTACCAAAAATAAGGTACTGCATTCCGCGAGGCGTACTAGGGAAGCAGTACCGTCAGACTTAAGGGGAGCGGCATGGTCTATAGGTGCAAAGCGACTAATACGATTGCAGAATCACAAAGGGTGCTGCCTGTGCTGATGTTCGCGTGTGCTATGAGGTCAGCCGGTCTCCCGTTTAAACAAGTCTGGAAAGTACCTCGAACTTATGTTCGCCCCCAAATGCATCTCCGGACGATTTGAATCAACTCACTCTTTAAAGAAACATCACTAAATGCCATGCGCACGTTGGCATCATCATCCTCGTCATCATCGTCTTCGGCCAGCTTCTTGAGCTTGGCTGGGAAGGCGTAGACGGGGACAGCCATGATGAGGATGGCCCCGGCGAAGAAGAAGAAGCCCAACCACCAGGCGCCCACCCAGCGGGGGCTGGACGAGGAGATCGGCGGAAGCTGTTTGTCGAAGTCCACGTAGTGCTTGAGGAAGAAGCTGCCGATCAGGAAACCCAGGGCTGGGCCGATGACAGTGGTGCTGAAGACGATGGCTGCGAGAGACAAAAATGCACTGTTTATAATGCGATTTTTTTCATATAGGAACACATTTTGTGCAACGTTCTACTCCTCTTTAATGTATAACAACTATCCCTATTTTATGTTAACTTTACTGAAAAGTGCACTTCTTTAAACATTTAAAAAGTTTAAATGTTCATCCTGACAACTGAGGGCGCTTTCACTGCACTATGGTGTCACTTCAGGGACACACTGTTAAGTTTAGGGGTTTTCTGTTAAATTTGTGAACACCCCCCCCCCAAAAAAGAGGTTAAAATAGGGCATAAACTTTTTCAAGGATACCATTAAAACAATTACATTGCACGGGCCCTTTAAATTATCTCGTTCATTTCATTTAATTAAAGAATCGCTGCTTCCCGAACTGACGAGGAAATGAAAACAAAAATAACATTGGATTTACTTTAATTGTTCATTGTACGGTTGTTTTAATTAAGGATTTTGGAGCACACGTTGACGAACGGCATTGGAACAGTTTTATGGGCTTGCAACATTTTTCGTCACCAGATGGCATCGCCACAACTTTCGATTCTGATTTTTTTTTGTTTTTGCAGCTTAATGTTGGTCTGTTCTGGACCCTATAATGGACCTCATCGTTTCTGGGAATTAAGGGTCATAATTCGTTGACGTTTCTGCCATCTGCAAAAAAAAGTGCACCGCCAAACCGTTGCAATGCCAAATCCAAACTTAAGCCCAGTTCATACTCGGCGCGAAAGCGAAAGCGAACGCGAATTTTTGACGTGATGGCAAGTATTCGCCCTGCGAATTCGTAAAAGTTGAACGTATTTCAACTCGGGCGAATTTCGCAGCGAATGTTTCATGACGTCCAATTCGCTTCGCATTCACATTTGCGTGGAGTATGAACCGGGCTTCCGCTTTCGCGCCGAGTATGAACCGGGCTTTACCCGGAATGGGCGTCAGTTTGCGAATTTCAAAGCAAAAAGTGCATATGGCCAGGGGGCATTACAAACCTAACATTATTTCCCTCTTGAAAAGGTTGACATGGTTTACCATGACGGCATTTACTCTTTTATTTGTTTTTTCCATTTCTTCATCCATGGTATACCCAAAACGGTTACAAACCAATGGTTGTTGCGCAAACTTGCCCATTCTTGTATTTTATCAAACATCTTTCGTATATTGACCTTCTGTATAATTACCTGAATGTACTTTGCAATATAAAAATGAATGTTTAGATGAATTGAATTGAAATGAATCGATAACAACGGCTCTGTGAAAAGGGGCATTTTGTGAAATTCCCGAAACTATTTCCTCGAACGAATAAAGGAATCATACGACGAGCATGTACAAATCAGGAAATTGCAATGAACGGCGAGGTCACATACCGTGACCTATGCGCACGGCAATGAGTACTTGTTCTCTCGAGATGCTCACAGTTTTGGCTTCGAAGGTATTTCCTGGTATTTTCAGTGTAGAAAATGAAGAAGCATGTTTCAAGAATTATTAAAAAAAGTCAAATTAAACGTTTTTAAACTACTGGATTCAGATAACAAAAAAACTTGTTTTTAAACCAATTTGTTTATATTATATTTTATATTTATTTTCTTTGATTTTTTTTAATGTCCTTGTCATACCTCTGTTGTTGTTGTTAATGTTTTGTTTTGATAATGTGATGTTCATACCTTTTAATGTAATAATTTTGCAGGCATTTTGTGAACAAATTGATCTTAATTTTCCTATTTACCTGTCCTGTCTTTTAGAGTTCTACTTACATTCATCTTTACCATTGTTTTAAGCTGAATAGGCCCACGTCAATTACTTTCAATTTCAAGATTTGTTTTAACTGGAAGGTTTAAGGTTTTAGTCTTATATTCCTTTATAGGCCTTTGTTTAATTTAATTTGATTGTTAATCTTTGTAATGTCAATGACATTCATGTTTTTATGTTCTAATTCAATATCTCATACTGTTTTTATTGAAAAAATAATAATAATATGATTCAGGGCCCTTATGGGAAGCCGTTTGTAACCAATAAGGTCACCCTGTACAAAATGTAATAAAGAATAAAAAAAATATACAAAAACATCTATGAATTGTATTGTTTTTGATCTCACTGTTAGTATAAATTGAATTTACAGCACGTATAAATTTACTCGAATTCGACTAGCTAATACATTCGCTGTACATTTTCGCGGATACATGTAATGGCCCGAATCCAAATGCATTACCCTGACTAGTTTTAAATTGCTACGTAGCTAGCCCTAATGTCTACTTGTGTGTGATAGTTTTCAAAAACCCACGTTTTGCTAAGAGTGAACAAATATTGTAAATTAATCAATTTGGCACGAATGTGGTAAATTTTACACAATCCTCGACATCTTCGTCAGCGTAGTTATGAAATCAACATTTGAGTAAAAAAAAAATCCGAAACCCAAATGGCAGGACTGTTTTTTCAATGAAGTTCTGCATGTAGCACTTTCAAAAAACTGGGAAATGAAAGCCCAGTTATACAAGAATCATTCAAATCACTCATGATTATACTTTTAAATTTACAAAATTTTAAACACGAACACCGTTTCAAAGTTCTGTCCACGGATCACAAGAAAAAGGTAAGTGTTCTTTCAGCAAAACGAAAACAATTCACATCCTAAGAGAATTGTCAGTTTTCCTCAACCAGCGACAGATTTTACATTTACGAAGGCAAAACTCAATAGTGTGTCAATCAAACCCAGAAATTGATAAACAGTTCGAAACCGTTATTAAATATCATATACATGATTTTGAGCAGTAAGCAGAAACGAAAGTTGGCGTAACAGACATTGTCCAGATTCACTACAGGTGTCGGTCGTCATTCTCTACCTGTGATGACGAACCATATTATAAAGCATTACACCGATAATTACCACTCTATCCACACTTTTACTTTCATATAGTTATTATATTAAAATTAACCGTAGCTTTCTTATTTTTATTTCAGACATTGTGAGACATCCTCACGGTTAGACATTGTAACCGGGAAAAAGGATTCAGCAGAACTGGGATTTGAGTTTGAGAGTTGAATGCGAAATAGTGAACTGTTGACCGACTTCTTTAAAGAACGACAAGATAGCTCATTAAAACACCGATTAGGACTATGTCTAATTTACCAGTCATTCACGCGCGTGACTGTGGTTCTAAACATGGTTGTGAGGAAGTCTTAAAAACCTCATTTCTATTAATTCTCCTGTACCAGTGGACTGGTGGTCAAAAGCTCACCAAGCATTCCGTACGTAATCGTCGATGTACGTCGTACCGAGCGTGATCGTGGACGTCGACCCGGCCCCGATCAGCAACAGTCCGGGGATAACAAAGATAAGCGCCAACCCCTCCGCGTAACTCACATCACCTGGTTGGCAGGTGGGTTCAAGTTCATCCCGAACCGAATTCGTCTGCACAGGATTGAGGGGTGTGCTGAGATGACACATTTCGGCCATAGTGTCGTTTCCAGTGGTTTGGTAAGAGATCAAGAAATGCGGGAGTGCTACGATGGTCGAGCCCAGAGCCATGGCCCAGGCGTACTACTGAATTGGAACTGAAGCTCGAAGCTGGTGACCATGCTGCTGATGTAGCCCACCGTCAGGCCGACCTCGGTCAGGGAGAGAAGGCTGAGGAACAACACGAAGTACCGGCCCGGAGGCCACCTTCTGCAGGCAGGCCGGCACCCAGCAGCAGTACCCGCACGACCCGGGTAAGGATTCATACTCCTCGTCCGTAGGGGATTGTTCTCTTCGCGACGACTGCGATGGACTGTTGGCGACGCACGGGGCCTGGTGAACCTGAAGCCCGCTTCCTGGTACTCCGAGGTCTTCAGCATGCGTGGCTTGGAAATGTGACGAGGCTACACTTGACCAATCGTTCACCAAACCCTCGTTTGTAAACTCCAGGACATTTTGGTTGCTACAATCTGCCATCTTTCGAAGGTTTAAGCCGGTAACGTTCTTAAACGCTGAATCTTACAGTGTACCCCCTACAGTACATGCATGCTACCTTCTCATTGATTATGACTGGACGTACACTTCCATGTCATCCATATTCGCTTAGGCCTACAAAACGAAATATGGGACTCCACTGAACTTCACAAGGCGGGACAGTCTTTGTTATAAATCACGGTCTCATACACAATTACGCGCTTTAGAGCAAAAGAAATAAAGAAAACTTGAAATCAAGTCCTGCTATCAGGTGTTGTGCGTCGCCCGTGCGAGGTGAATAACCGACTTAACTTGTCTGGACAAAATTAATCGCCCTTTTGCGTCATGTCAGTTTCCTGAGAGTCTGAGACCCAATACAGCGTCTTGAAAAAATTGCCAGAGCAAAGGAACAGTTTATTTCCATTGCCGCAAAGTCGGGCCATGCATTTATGCACGGTTACTCTGAATCACCTAACAATGAAGGTTACACAGTATGTTCCGACACACCTATTGTTCCGACTGCACATAACACATTCCTAACCCTGACCCTATAACCCTATAAAACCCTAACCAGGAGTACAAACACAATCTTGTATGCGGGTTGTCGGAACATAGGGGTGTTGGAACATAAGGGTGTTGGAACATGTAGGAGCCACCACAATGAGTCTGGCACGATCTCATTGGTGTATTATTGTACCTTTATACAGGGTGAGCCGAACAAAGCGGAAACCAAACACCAAAAATTGTATTTCATATTTAAAAAAAAAAAGTGTAGCACCAAACATAATAATGACTGGTAAGCCAATTTCATAAGCTACGATTAGATGGGAAAAAAAATTATGAAATTGCTCCATCCGTAAAGACCACTGTCTCCCTAAGGTTGCAGACCAGTAAATCGGTCCGAAATTACCCACGCCGGCCAAATTACGATTTGCATGCCCTCAACTTCTTCAGTATTTGAGCATATTGTGGGCCAAGAACTTGAGAGTTTGTAAAAGATAAGGGTGGAAGCCGTGCACAGGACCGTGAGCTTGTATTTCTGTGAAATTTGGTTGAAGTTGGGGCCCTAAA